TGTGTATCAATCTTGTTGGCAAATATCATAAACTGACTATATATTGGCATTTACTTAAATACTAAATCCAAAGTACTAAATTTAAGTTATCATTTAACTCGGCTTCGGACTATTCGAAGTTCTAATACCTAACAGGACTAATAGGAAATCCAGCATGAGGTAAAAATAGAAAATATTAACTAAGAAGCACTGAAAGCACTGGTCAATTAATTTTTAACTTAATTAACTTAATGAAAAAATGGTATGTGTTGCTATTCTATAATAGTGATTAATAACATTTATTATGTAGTAAAATGTAAGTTGTGATCTCCTTCAAATAATGAATAACAGCAGATTTGTTAAAATCCTATAAACAGTAATATTGTCGTTAAAATAATGGTTTTAACACAATTAAATCTAGACATTGATCACGTAATTATATATATGGAACTATAGTGTCTACCTTTGTAAAACTTCTCTGAGATAAAGCTATAAATTATCATGTATAAAATGAAATATTTTGTCAAGTTATAACGATATCATAAAATCAAACTAGTGACAGTAAAAGTTTTAATTATTGCTTGATATTCAATAAACGTTTTTTATGGTCTATTTACATATAAATGATTAGGAAATGTGTAAAAATAATAAATTAACGTTAAGCATCCTTTTTAGGACGATTTAAGTATAAATGGTCAGGAAGTGTAATTGACTAATAAATTAGTGCCTTATATCGACTGTATTAATTATAGGCATGTTGAGACATGTTGGTCAAATTTATACTGGCCTCACTTCGTGGAACTATGACGTGTAGCCACTTGTCATGGTGGGATAGCAACGCGTCCTTTATTCCTACTTTGTGGAACTATTACATACTCGTCATCATGGCTGCTTATCATGACGGCCTAGCAACGCGCTCTCTGGTGAAACTTTGTAGAACTATTCGATGACGGGGAACCCACTTTGAGACTAATAATGGTTGGAGACGGCTTGAATGGGTAATGAAGAAAAACTTTAATATAAGTTTAATATAACAGCAAATGTACAACGTTGTAACGTCGAAACATGTAGAGTCGTCAACTTTTTGAAGGCCATAGATAGG